AAGCTCTGTATTTTATGAATGTATACAAGGAAACCTCTGACTGGCTAAGTTGGAGATCGTGACATCATCTGCCTGTCTATCTAGTTAATCGGGGAAAGTCTTATACTCATTGATAAAATACAAAGCTTCCTGTGAATGGCTGAGTAATGCTGAACTCGACTCAATTTTGTCTGTGAAATGGGGTGGGAAAGTACCTGCATTGTGGCCAGAACACAGTGCTGTATATTGGATGTAGCATACAGTTTATACAACACTCCCAGAGGGTGCATCTGTTAGTGAAGGAAATCAGTTGTTTGGACCATTAAATATATAAATTGTGCCGCGCTCCTGTGTATAAATAATTACAATATTCACTATTTCAAATGACAATCCAAAGAAAAAAAAAAAAATTATGAAAAAATAATAAAATGATATATATACTTATATCTAGTGTATAAAATACAATTATCTTCTGCTTATAACATCATAAATAAATACCGCATACTGTGCTGGTGACAATAGTAAATAGTGATAGTGATAAAAACAATATATATGAAAAAGTGCTCATAGACAGTCCTCTTTCAATTTAAATGGTGCAATCCCATAATCCACGTGCAGTGTGATTTTATTATGCGCTCACCTCAGGTTTTGCCTTATAAAAAGGCAAAACTAGCTTTTTGTCCTTATAGGACTGCTGGGATGATCCTCCTGCTTAGGATATTCCTGATGGCAAATGGGATGATTATGCTCGATCTTAATCCACCTGGGATCTCTGGAGTGATTATGCCTGCTGCTGATCAGGATTTGATGGCTGGATGGATATTTCGCTTTTTCTTCCAAAGGTCTCCTTCCTCCTATACTGATTTCTCTCCAATATATCACAGGATGATTGTATGAAGAAACAAAACCATCATAGTGCTTTATCCTTTTAAAATTAAGGCTTTATTTGCTGCTGCAAGTTCCATACAGAGTTTTTAGCATAGGCTTCAGAGTAAGGCAGGTTCAGGATCATCCCAGCAGTCCTATAAGGACAAAAAGCTAGTTTTGCCTTTTTATAAGGCAAAACCTGAGGTGAGCGCATAATAAAATCACACTGCACGTGGATTATGGGATTGCACCATCATAATTTAAATTGAAAGAGGACTGTCTATGAGCACTTTTTCATATACAGTTGCAAGAAAAAGTATGTGAACCCCTTGGGATTACGTGGAGTTTAGCATGAATTGGGCATAAAAATGTGCTCTGAACGTCATCTAAGTCACAACAATAGAAGAACACAGTCTGCTGAACATAAGACTACACAAACATTAGATGTTGCCATGGTTTAATTGCACATAACATGTAAACATTCACAGTGCAGGGAGGAAAAAGTATGTGAACCTTTGGACTTAATAACTGGTTGACCCTCCTTTGGCAGCAATAACCTCAACCAAACGTTTCCTGTAGTTGCAGATCAGACCTGCACAATGACCTGGAGTAATTTTGGACCACTCCTCTTCACAAAACTGTTTCAGTGTAGCAATATTCTTGGGATGTCTGGTGTGAATCGCTCTCTTAAGGTCATGCCACAGCATTTCAATCGGGTTGAGGTCAGGACTCTGACTGGGCCACTCCAGAAGGCGTATTCTGTGCTATTGCAGCCGTTGTTTTGTTGAATTACTTGTATGCTTTGGGTCATTGTCCTGTTGCATCACCCATCCTCTGCGGAGCTTCAGTTGGCGGACAGATGGTCGTACGTTTTCCTGCAAAATGTCTTGATAAATTCTGGAATTCATTTTCCCATCAATGACAACAATCCGTCCAGGCCCTGAGGCAGCAAAGCAGCCCCAAACCATGATGCTCCCTCCGCCATGTTTCACAGTGGGGATGAGGTTTTGATGTTGGCGTGCTGTGCCTTTTTTTCTCCACACATAGTGTTGTGTGTTCTTCCCAAACAACTCAATCTTGGTTTCATCTGTCCACAGTATATTTTGCCAGTAGTGCTGTGGAACATCCAGGTGCTCTTTTGCAAACTTCAAACGTGCTGCAATATTCTTTTTGGACAGCAATGGCTTCCTCCGTGGTGTCCTCCCATGTACTCCATTCTTGTTTAATGTTTTCCTTATTGTAGATGTGTCAACAAAAATGTTAGCATGTGCCAGAGATTTCTGTAGGTCTTTAGCTGACACTCTGGGATTCTTCTTTACCTCATGCAGCATTCTGCGCTGTGCTCTTGCAGTCATTTTTACAGGACAACCACGCCTAGGGAGAGTAGCAACAGTGCTAAACTTTCTCCATTTGTAGACAGTCTGTCTTACCATGGACACATGAACATCAAGGCTTTTGGAGATACTTTTGTAACCCTTTCCATGACTTTCCATAAAGCATGCAAGTCAACAATTCTTGATCGTAGGTCTTCTGAGAGCTCTTTTCTGCGAGGCATGGTTCACATCAGACAGTGCTTCTTGAAACCAGTAAACCCAAAACAGGTGTGTGTTTTTTAAGGGCAGGACAGCTGTCAGCAACACATCCAATATCATCACACTGATTGGAGTCAAGGTTGGCTCACTCCTGGCTCCAATTGGCTCTGGGAGAAGTCATTAAGCTAGGGCCTCACATACTTTTTCCTCCCTGCACTGTGAATGTTTACATGTTATGTGCAATTAAACCATGGCAACATCTAAATGTTTGTGTAGTATTATGTTCAGCAGACTGTGTTCTTCTATTGTTGTGACTTAGATGACGTTCAGAGCACATTTTATGCCCAATTCATGCAAAACTCTCCACGTAATCCCAAGGGGTTCACATACTTTTTCTTGCAACTGTATATTGTTTTTATCACTATCACTATTTACTATTGTCACCAGCACAGTATGCGGTATTTATTTATGATGTTATAAGCAGAAGATAATTGTATTTTATACACTAGATATAAGTATATATATCATTTTATTATTTTTTCATAATTTTTTTTTTCTTTGGATTGTCATTTGAAATAGTGAATATTGTAATTATTTATACACAGGAGCGCGGCACAATTTATATATTTAATTTTCTCACAGAACACTGTCTAATGAGTAGGTGTAAGTGCCAGCGAACCACAGGTGTATCATATATTGTGTTTTGTTTGTCAAATTAATTAATGGTAATAGTTTAGACAAACACCATAGTAGCTCACAAGTACACTCATTTAGTTGTTTGGACCAGCTTGGCCTGAATGATCTACTGAAAGTCATAGGAAACCTGGAGTTAGGCTGTACCCCGAGCTACACTCTGGAATACTGCCAGGGAGGCTACAGTCATAGGAAACCTGGAGTTAGGCTGTACCCCGAGCTACACTCTGGAATACTGCCAGGGAGGCTACAGTCATAAGAAACCTGGAGTTAGGCTTTACCCCGAGTTACACTCGGGAATACCGCCAGGGAGGCTACAGTCATAGGAAACCTGGAGTTAGGCTTTACCCCGAGCTACACTCGGGAATACCGCCAGGGAGGCTACAGTCATAGGAAACCTGGAGTTAGGCTTTACCCCGAGCTACACTCGGGAATACCGCCAGGGAGGCTACAGTCATAAGAAACCTGGAGTTAGGCTTTCAATCCCTGTGCCATGCTTTGCAGAAGGACATCTTGGCTCACTTGTGCTGCCGGAGCGCAGAGCTGCATAATGTATGTAGCATACAGTTTATACAGCACTCCCAGAGGGTGCATCTGTTAGTGAAGGCAATCAATTGTTTGGACCAGCTTGATCTACAGCAGGGGTGTCAAACTGGCGGCCCTCCAGTTGTTGCGGAACTACAAGTCCCATCGTGCCTCAGCCTTTGGGAGTCATGCTTGCAACTGTCAATCTTGCAATGCCTCATGGGCAACAGCTGGAGGGACGCCAGTTTGACACCCGTGATCTACAGTATTTAAAGTCATAGGAAACCTGGAGTTAGGCTTTCAATCCCTGTGCCATGCTTTGCAAAAGAATATCTTGGCTATGTTCACTTGTGCTGCCGGAACGCAGAGCTGTATATTGTATGTAGCTGATCCTACAAACAATTTATACAGAGATCCCAGGTGGTGCATCTGTTAGTGAAGGAACTCCATTGTCTGGATCAGTTTGGCCCAAGGCCGGCCATACATGGGCTGAAATTCGACTGATTTTTCGTCTGAAAATTAGACCTACGAACAATCGGCTGATTTTCGCTCTGTTAGTGGGGTCAATGGCACCGGACGATTTTTGTGGTTCTTCCCCTTTTTGGTGATCAGGCATGTTGGAAAATTCGTGAAAAATGACTGATTTTCGACTCAATGGTGGTCAAATCATACAATCATTTTTCCAAAAAGAATATGTGCATGAGCCATGACCTGGAAGGAACAGAAGTTTTGCCTGTTATATGGGGTGGACTTTATGACTTGGTCGGTCGATTTTCGAAATCACTGATGGCACCATCAGATTACCGAGCGAACGTTTTTGATTTTCGGACAAAAAAAATGTTCGAAATTCAACCCATGTATGGCCTGCATTAGTCATAGGAATCCTGGAATTAGCCATTAAAATGTTACTAAACCCCGGACCCTGCATTCACTATATCCGCTCTCCTCGGACCCTGCATTCACTATATCCACTCTCCTTGGACCCTGCATTCACTATATCTGGTCTCCCAGGACTCTGCATTCACTATATCCGGTCTCCCCGGACCCTGCATTCACCATATCCGTTCTCCCCAGACCTTGAATTCACTATATCCGGTCTCCCCAGACCCTGCATTCACTATATCCGGTCTCCCCAGACCCTGCATTCACTATATCCGGTCTCCCCAGACCCTGCATTCACTATATCTGGTCTCCCCGAACCCTGCATTCACTATATCCACTCTCCCCGGACCCCGCATTCACTATATCTGGTCTCCCCGGACCCTGCATTCACTATATCCGGTCTCCCCAGACCTTGCATTCACTATATCCGGTCTCCCTGGACCCTGCATTCACTATATCCGCTCTCCCCCGGACCCTGCATTCATTATATCTGCTCTCCCCAGATCCTACATTCACTATATCTGGTCTCCCCGGACCCTGCATTCACTATATCTGGTCTCCCCGGACCCTGCATTCACTATATCTGGTCTCCCTGGACCCTGCATTCACTATATCTGGTCTCCCCGGATCCTACATTCACTATATCTGGTCTCCCCGGACCCTGCATTCACTATATCTGGTATCCCAGGACCCTGTATTCACTATATCTGGTCTCCCCGGACCCTGCATTCACTATATTTGGTCTCCCAGGACCCTGCATTCACTATATCCGCTCTCCCCGGACCCTGCATTCGCTATATCCGGTCTCCCAGGACCCTGTATTCACTATATCTGGTCTCCCTGGACCCTGTATTCACTATATCTGGTATCCCAGGACCCTGCATTCACTATATCCGCTCTCCCCGGACCCTGTATTCACTATATCAGGTCTCCCCGGATCCTGCATTCACTATATCTGGTCTCCCCGGACCCTGCATTCACTATAGATGGTATTCCATGACCCTGCATTCACTATATCTGGTCTCCCCAGACCCTGCATTCAGTATATCTGGTCTCCCACAGTACACACAACATGGAAATGAAATTATTTTAGTAAATATAAACTACTAAATACCTTTTCTCATCAGCAGTGTATTGCAGTCTTGTGACTTCTATCAGTGTCCAGCACAGCACTGGTTAAAGCTTGTAGGTGGAGTTTTCTTTCTCCCTGGACCCTGCATTCACTATATCCGCTCTCCCCGGACCTGCATTCATTATATCTGCTCTCCCCGGATCCTACATTCACTATATCCGGTCTCCCCGGACCCTGCATTCACTATATCCAGTCTCCCCAGACCCTGCATTCACTATATCCGGTCTCCCCGGACCCTGCATTCACTATATCCGGTCTCCCCGGACCCTGCATTCACTATATCCGGTCTCCCCAGACCTTGCATTCACTATATCCGGTCTCCCCAGACCCTGCATTCACTATATCCGGTCTCCCCAGACCCTGCATTCACTATATCCGGTCTCCCCGAACCCCGCATTCACTATATCTGGTCTCCCCGGACCCTGCATTCACTATATCCGCTCTCCCCGGACCCTGCATTCATTATATCTGCTCTCCCCGGATCCTACATTCACTATATCCGGTCTCCCCGGACCCTGCATTCACTATATCCGGTCTCCCCAGACCCTGCATTCACTATATCCGGTCTCCCCGGACCCTGCATTCACTATATCCGGTCTCCCCGGACCCTGCATTCACTATATCCGGTCTCCCCAGACCCTGCATTCACTATATCCGGTCTCCCCAGACCCTGCATTCACTATATCCGGTCTCCCCGAACCCCGCATTCACTATATCCACTCTCCCCGGACCCCGCATTCACTATATCCGCTCTCCCCGGACCCTGCATTCACTATATCCGCTCTCCCCGGACCCTGCATTCATTATATCTGCTCTCCCCGGATCCTACATTCACTATATCCGGTCTCCCCGGACCCTGCATTCACTATATCCGGTCTCCCCAGACCCTGCATTCACTATATCCGGTCTCCCCGGACCCTGCATTCACTATATCCGGTCTCCCCGGACCCTGCATTCACTATATCCGGTCTCCCCAGACCTTGCATTCACTATATCCGGTCTCCCCAGACCCTGCATTCACTATATCCGGTCTCCCCAGACCTTGCATTCACTATATCCGGTCTCCCTGGACCCTGCATTCATTATATCTGCTCTCCCCAGATCCTACATTCACTATATCTGGTCTCCCCGGACCCTGCATTCACTATATCCGGTCTCCCCAGACCTTGCATTCACTATATCCGGTCTCCCTGGACTCTGCATTCACTATATCCGCTCTCCCCGGACCCTGCATTCATTATATCTGCTCTCCCCAGATCCTACATTCACTATATCTGGTCTCCCCGGACCCTGCATTCACTATATCTGGTCTCCCCGGACCCTGCATTCACTATATCTGGTCTCCCTGGACCCTGCATTCACTATATCTGGTCTCCCCGGATCCTACATTCACTATATCTGGTCTCCCCGGACCCTGCATTCACTATATCTGGTATCCCAGGACCCTGTATTCACTATATCTGGTCTCCCCGGACCCTGCATTCACTATATCTGGTCTCCCAGGACCCTGCATTCACTATATCCGCTCTCCCCGGACCCTGCATTCGCTATATCCGGTCTCCCAGGACCCTGCATTCACTATATCTGGTCTCCCTGGACCCTGTATTCACTATATCTGGTATCCCAGGACCCTGCATTCACTATATTCGGTCTCCCAGGACCCTGTATTCACTATATCAGGTCTCCCCGGACCCTGCATTCACTATATCTGGTCTCCCCGGACCCTGCATTCACTATAGATGGTATTCCATGACCCTGCATTCACTATATCTGGTCTCCCTAGACCCTGCATTCAGTATATCTGGTCTCCCACAGTACACACAACATGGAAATGAAATTATTTTAGTAAATATAAACTACTAAATACCTTTTTTCATCAGCAGTGTATTGCAGTCTTGTGACTTCTATCAGTGTCCAGCACAGCACTGGTTAAAGCTTGTAGGTGGAGTTTTCTTTCTGCTCTAGGAGGGAGCAAAACCCCTGACCTCTGTCTGGACAGTGCTGATTGGCCCTGTGCTGATCACATGCACTCTCCCAGGAAAAAAAAAAACCTCTCTAGCAATACACACAAAATGAGCATGTGCAAAATGCCTACGGTTCAGTCTGTCTTATTAGGAGATAAGAGGTGGTCACTTAAAAATGGGGAGGAATGAAGAAAAAGGGATCAAACAGCCTTTTTACACAGTGCAGAGGATTAACCCCTTAGTTTCCACAGTGAGTATAACAAGCATGCTTTACTGCATATACAGACAGTACAATCAGTACTGTTGTGGGTTTAGAACCACTTTAAATCCCTGTGCCATGCTTTGCAAAAGGACACCTTGGCTATCCTAAAAAAAAGAAAACCCTCACCTTGCAAAACAACCCATTCAGTTTAAAGTAGAAATTAAAGGCAACACATTTGGGTAAAGATATAAAAAAAAAACCATTAAACACCAAAATGTCACCTTTTTTATAAGTGAACACTACGTCTGGTTCCCTCTGTTCTCAGCTGCATAAGGAGCTGGGGGAGGAGAAACAGCAGTACACTGAATGGCTGTGCAGGGGTGGCGTGTCACTACAAGAGAGCAGACTGAGTTCCCAGCATAGCCAGAAAATTGACCGTGCTGTGCTTTCATACCTAGTGTGGTCAGTTTTTAATAGGAAAGCAGAGGGACTGGCAGGATCACCAGGGATTTCACACAAAAGAAGCAGTAAAAAGAGAACAGGAGACTTTTCCATACAAGTCCATGGTACAGCAGGCACAGATTAGGAATATGAAATGTTGGGTTTACACATCCTTTAACCATTAGCCGCCCGGCCAATGGCCGTTTGGCGGCTTCAAAAGTGTTGCTGCATTCCGGGTGCACGCCATTTGGTGTCCTCCCGCACATGAGCAGTTTGCGCTAATGCAGAGCAGCGCAGCAGCGCGATCTGTCACCGGCCGTGCACCTCAGACACGGCCGATGACAGATCCGAGTACCGGCTCCTGTTGCTGGTACCATGTGACCTGCTGTGACCAATCACAGCAGGTCACATGACAGTTGTATACAATGGATGGCTTCATTCATGCCATCCATTGTATACTAGTGCCTAGCTGTGAATGGTCACAGCTAATCACATGCACATGTCATGTGATTAGCTGTGACCAAATCACAGCTAAGCACAAAAAAAAAAAAGAAAAAAGCTGAATGAATCGATTTCATTCAGGTAAATGCTTGCTTATAGCAAAGTAATTCTTTGCTATAAGCAAATTGTGTAAAAAAAAATAAAATAAATAAAATACTGATCACTTCCCCAAAGTAGTACAATGTTACTATGGTAACATTGTACTACTTTGGTCATAGTAAAATATGAAAAAAAAATCTTAAAAAAAAAAAAAAAAAAAGTAATAAAAAATTAAAAATAATAAAAAAATTTAAAATTTTTAAAAAAAAAATATATATATTTCTTTTTTTCATACTGTCACCAGTCAGTGTCCCTGATCACCGCCATGCCAGTTATATGATGACGCTGTACTGCACTGGTGACAGTATGTAAAAAAAAAAAATAGTGAAAATAATTTTTTTCATTTTTTTCATTTTCCGAAAAATTATGACAAAAAAACACAACTTCAAAAAACTCGCCATGCCTCTTATGAAGTACGTCGGACTGTCTACTCTGCAAAAAGGGGTCATTTGGGGGATATCTGTACTGTTCTGACATTCTTGGACCTCAAGATATTAGATTGGCTGTCAGTACTTCAGGATTGATCAATATTCAGATCTATACCATAGTTTGTGAACTCTATAACTTTCCTACAAACTAAATAATACATCCTAATTTGGGTTATTTTCACCAAAGACATGTAGCAGAATACATCTCGGCCTAAATTTATGAAGAACAATTATTTATTTGTAAACTTTTATAACAGAAACAAAGAAAAAATTTTTTTTTTCAAAATTTTTGGTCTTTTTTTGTTAATTTAGCAAAAAATAAAAACCCCAGCGGTGATTAAATACCACCAAAAGAAAGCTCTAGTTGTGTGAAGAAAATGATAAAATTTTAGTTTGGGTACAGTGTTGTATGACCGCGCAATTGTCATTCAAAGTGTGAGAGCGCTGAAACCTGAAAAATGGCCTGGGCAGGAAGGTGTAAAATTGCACGGTATTGAAACGGTTAACATGGGCTACTGTTAGAGGCATGAGGTTACATCTTCTACACAGTGGCTGGTGTGCAGAGCAATGCGGATGGACAATTGCAGTGCTAATGCACCAATCATGATGCATTGCACCGTTCCTTTTTTTTCTTACACAGGTTTTAAAGCCAAAATGTTTTTTACTTTAATGCATCCCCTGCATTAAAGTGGTTGTAAACCTCTGACATGAATTATGAACAAAGCATATCCCTCTATGATGTGTACTTGTCTCAATCCAGAGCACTAAGTGTAATTTCTGTCTGCTGCTTCTTTCCTCTGCTATCAGCATGAGTCACTTCTGACAAGTTTTCCTGACACCAAGAGATAAATGGTGACGGGGAGGAACCTCCAGCAGATTGACATCCTCAGCTCTGTTCCTGTGAGCTGTGTGGAGGGAGGTGTATCTCTTCCCTCCAATCAGCTCTCAGAGCTCTCCTTGCTGAGCTCTGCAGAGTGTAATTTTAGCTCTCCGCCACCTTTTTTCTCAACTCTCAGACAAGCTTTATAAATTCAACACTTTGAATTGATGTAGAGAAGAAAAGGCTGGTGCGTGTATCACCTGAGGACAGTCACTTCACTGGGTATATTTCAGGGTTTACAACCACTTTAATGGTAAAAAAAAAAACATTTTACAGCTTGCTGTCCTCCCACACTTACCTATATACTTACCTGGGTCCTTCATTGATCAGCTCTGTGAACGGCTGGATCTTATCTCTCCTCTCTTCTACTTCACACTGGGACTTGGGCAGCAGCAGGGGCCATTGGCTCCTGGTTCTGTCCATCAAATGCAGTGAGGAGGAAGCGGGTGGAGGGGGAGAGATCAAGCCACACTGTGTGTGTCTAAGGGGTGTGCCTCCATAGACACACATAGCTAAGGAGCAAGCAAGCACATGTTCCTCCATAGCAAGCGGAAAGCTATGGTGGCACATGGAGAAGTGGAGGCGGGGGACTTCAGAAGAGAAGGTTCAGTGCTGCTGGTATTGGTGCAATGGTATTGCAGAGAGCAGGCAAATAGAACATGTTTATTATTTTAATTAAGAAAAAATTACCTTTAGTAACACTTTAACAAGCTTTATCGCAATGTCACATTTCATCAAGTTCTGCTGGACAATAGTATGGCCTGCTGTACTTTTTTCAGTGCACACCACCTGCACATCACCACAACATGGACTAAGTTGGAATAGTCACCCAAAAGGGTTCCACCACATCAGATGGAAACCAGCCATAAGTACACTGTTAGTAATTACCTTTCTTCTCTCCAGATCTCACATGCTAAAAAAATTTAAAAAAATAGGGTTAAACAATTTGAAAGATTGGATAGATAGATAGATAGATAGATAGATAGATAGATAGATAGATAGATAGATAATAGATAGATAGATAGATAGATAGATAGATAGATAGATAGATAGATGCCTGCCAACATCGGGCATGCTCCTAATGAGATGACGGTGTCCTGGGGGATTTCCTCCCAGATCTGGACCAGGGCATCACTGAGCTCCTGGACAGCCTGAGGTGCAGCCTGGAGTCGTCGGATGGACTGAAACATGACATCCCAGAGGTGTTCTATTGGATTTAGGTCAGGCGAGCCTGGGGGCCATTTAATGGTATCAATTCCTTCATCCTCCAGGAACTGCCTGCATACTCTCACCACATGAGGCCAGGCATTGTCGTGCACCCGAAGGAACCCAGGACCCACTCTACCAACATAGGGTCTGACAATGGGTATAAGGATTTCATCCTGATACCTAATGGCAGTCAGGGTGCCATTGTTCAGCCTGTAGAGGTCTGTGTGAACCTCCATGGATATGCCTCCCCAGACCATCACTAACCCACCACCAATACAGTCATGCTGAACGATGTTACAGGCAGCATAACCTTCTCCACGGCTTCTCCAGACCCTCTCACGTCTGTCACATGTGCTCAGGGGGAACCTGCTCTGACACCAATGATGGGGAACTATTCCTCTCACTAATACCAATGATGGGGCACTATTCCTCCCACTAATACCAATGATGGGGCACTATTCCTCCCAATGACACCAATGATGGGGCACAATTCCTCCCACTGACACCATTGATGAGGCACTAGTCCTTCAGAATTCATCCCACAAGAATAATCCCCATAATGTGTGAAATATAATTTTCTATTTATTTACTAGAGGCCATAATGTATTTTTCTGGTTGCAGTGACGAAACTGCCGATCATAGGAAATACATAGAACATAACATTTCACACATTACAGGGATAATTTGTGATGTATAGTATATCTTGTAGTCTGTCACCAGCATTAAAATGGTTGTAAACCCTTAGATATACCTTACATACTATAGAC